TTTCTTTCTTAGATACCATGACAACATCATGGGCAAGTACAACAGACGCAAGTAATCCTGAAAGTTCATCGAGTAATTCAGATACCAATGATATCAATCGTAACCACAGTAGAACAAGTAGTGAAGGTTCAATATTTACAGATTCAGATTTAAATAAAATTACCTTATCTTTTAATCACCATCAGCAACAGCAGCAACATAACAATACAAATAAACGTAAGTGAACATCATTTCAAAGTACTGTGGTAATTCCAAATCAGACACATCTTTTCTTCTTTCTCTAAAAAGTAGAAATTAAAAGTTTCATAAAGACATACAGTAAAACCTCTCTATTGTGAACATCATCAGGACTTTTCAAAAGCGTTCATTATAGGGAAATGTTCACTTTAGAGAGATGATGCACGTCTTGTTGAGAAATGAAAAAAAGTTCTAGAATGTCTGCTTCTACACTAGTCCTGAATTAATTATATTATTCATCTTTTAAAGTTAGCTAGTGTCGTGATATCATTCTTTTTTTCATACGTATAGTAGTCAGTTTTAGTACTTAAAGCGTAATTAGTATCAGTACAAAAGGGACATGATAAACAGTAGAGAGAGAAACATTGCACGTATGTTCACATTAGAGAGGTTATAATGGCAGGAAGGACTGAAAAAATAGTGTTCATGTTCAGAATACAGGGGTGTTCACATTCGAGAGGTGCATTTCCAGCAGAAATCGCTCCATCGGACCTGAGAGCGTATTCACTGAGGAGGTGTTCACTTTACAGAGGCGTTCACTAATACAGGTTTTACTGTACTCTCTATTGAAAAGGTTCTTTATTATTCTAGATTCACATCCAATTTCTGATGAGAATATTCGTCAACAACGTCCACTCTCATCAAATTTACTATTGAAAGAGGTTAGTAATCTTAAATGGTATAGCATAAATATATTTGAACTTTTTTCTTTTATAGACCCCTGTTCTTTGATACAAAATGAATAATTGAGTTAGAATAATATTTTCTGAAAAATTTTAGCATATAAAAGTGCATAATTCAGATACAGAATACAAGCTCATTACACAGGGTGCTATATTTCGGATTTAAAGCACATTTAGAAGATGATAGAAATTACGATCATCTTTTCTAATCTAGTCATATCATATTACGTTTTTTATTTAATTTTATGTATTATTATTATTTTTTTTTTTAAATAAAAGTAATAGACCAAAGTGTTAGATTAGACATTTAGCTAAATAAAAACCTAGAAAAAAAATCTTTTTGTTCCTCTTCATTTTATATATTTTTTGTTCACTCGTGTTGTACAAGTAAACTACTGTGTATATATTAACGTTGGAAGAAGAAATTCTCCCATCGATTTTTTTTATCTCTAATTATTTTTTTTGCGTTGCGACGATCAGATGTTTTTTTCTGTCATTTTTGTCCTGTTTTAGTAAAATTTTTCTTCTCTTTTCACGTTCTCGTTTCGTGTTTGATATCGTTGATGTTTCTTCTTTTTGTAATAAAACAGCAAGAAATAGCAACAGCAAAATAACACACAAAAACTTTGCCTTTATCTTCCACTGGTATGGGAGAAAAAACAAAGCTTCTTAAAATTTGACTGATATTTTAGACATAAACTTTGCGTTACGGTACATAAAAGATCAAGAAGTAAAAAAAGCGAATAAGATAAATATTTGTCATGTGTTAAGAAGTACAATATACGAGGTCTAAGAAACTGAAAATACCCATCTGCCTTGATGTGCAGTGTTCCATAATTATAAGATCCCCTTTGTTTTTGTCGAAAAATCTGTCGAATTTCTAGTTTGTTTGAAATTTTTCGCTCGAAATTTGACAGTGTCGAAAATTTTTACTCCAAATTCAACAGGCTTTCGACACTGTCGAATTTCGAGCGAAAAACCCGACAGTATCGAAAACTGACTGTCAAAAAGTAGAACTGTCGAATGACGACAAATTCTTTTTCTGCCAGATAAGGTGCATATCGAGATTTTATGAAGAAATTTGATAATAGGGTTTCTGGTAAATCTGAAGCCTAGAAAACCAAGTCTTTGGTTTTGATAAAAAATGCTCAGCTATCTGACATTTTTTCATCAAACTGCAGTTGATTTATGAAAGGCGATTAGGGGTCAAAATCACGAAATTATCAATGTATCCTCTTTTACAGCTTTTACAGTGATTTCAAATAAAGTCTAATTTGCAAATTATTGAGTGTAATACTAGGAAATATGCACTCTTTAGCAAAGTACCTTTGTTTGTATGGCTCATGTGGCTTTGATGTGTGAGATATTTAAAAATGTATATAATGAGAAAAACAGAATACATCGATAAAGCAACCGATGCAGCGAAAGCCGATTTCGCTGCTGCGGATGACTTTAAACGAAAAGCGGCACATTGTGTTTCTGAAGTTTTAACTGGATATGATATAGACAAGAGAAAAAAGATGGTAAGTTTCTGATGTCTGATCTCCATGTGTCACTGAGTTTCTGCTAAAACTAAATCTGTTAATATTTATTCAATATTCAGATGTGAAACATAATGTTGATCAAGCAGGAGAAAAAAAATCAAAAGTCAACTGAAAAGAAAGCAGAAAAAAGATAATGATAGTAATGATAAAGATGATAAGAAACAGGGGAAGAATAAAATCAAGAGCTAGAGAATTTAAAAAACTGAACATACAAAACTTCTTGAACCAACGAAACAGATGTTCAAAGATCTGGTTATAATAATGAGCCTGTTTCAGCAAGTGATAGTTAATACAAGTCTTCTTACTATCAAAGTTGTGCGAATAATCAGTTTGAATGAAGCTACAAAACTGGCATTGTTTCCTAATCATTCATCAGCGGTTGATTAATCTTCTTGCGTTTACTAGATCTCTATTAAAACATTAAAGACAAGTTGGCCAGAATTAATTGGAAAGTCAAGTGGCAGTACGACTAAATCATTAAGCGAAGCTGGATATACTAATAACTTTTTCTCTGATTACATACTAAATTAAACTCAGCAAAAAATACAAAGGACATGTGAAGAAGAACAGAAAATTCTTATAAAATCACTTAGTATCAACTGGTACTGATAAAGCCATGAAAAACATTTATTCAGAAATAAGGTTAGTTGAACTTTTTACAATGAAAGAGGAAAACGTGGAATGACTGTTCTTAAATTGGGTAGCAAAATAGATTTTACATGAACAAACAGGTCAGAATGAAAAAAATGATCGCTTGGCTGTTTCTGGCGTCTTGCAATGTGTACAATTGATCGACCAGAAGAAAGCTGAAGTCTAAGCGTATGCGTGTTACATTCATTCTATTACCCATGTTGCAGTATAATGGACTCGAGAAAAGGACAGAAAATCTACATAATACTGTAGTTTTTTTAAGAAATCGTGTATATCAGTTAATGAAGGTATATCATTTGGAAGATTATTTCAGTCATTCAATTAATTTATATTTTAACTTTTAAGTAAGGTGACAAAAAAGTCTTTTTGATAAGACTGTCACTGTGTAGAGATTGTCACTACTAGAGGTCATTTTATACCAGTCCTAGAGCTTTCAGAACAAGTCGTTCAGCAATTGAACGGTCAAAGTTAGAGGTCCCCACTTTTCAGTGGTATTTAGGGCAAAGGCTGAAGGTTCTAATCCATCTCCGGATGAGAAAACTCTAGTCGAAAACTTTTTGTGCGGGAACTTCGTCTTTAAAGACAGGCAAGATACACCAGCTGTAGATGACGGCAGAAAGTTTATTTTCTCATAGACAGATGCAATTAAGTCTCTTTTATCAAATTGTGAAAATTCGAAGCCTCTAGCTATCATTGTTCAAAAGTTATTCAAAAATACCCACAGTCATCGTCTTTTGAAATGGATAGTAGTGTAGCGATAACTACGTACAATCATAACTTATTTTACGGCTAGGCTTGTTTAAAGATCTAAATATTGAATGGGATCAGATTAGTAATGCTTATTTGAAACAAGTGTTTGAATCTCTATTCGTATAAATTAATTTTCTGTTCTTCGATAGTTTTAGTTTAGAATCCTATAATGGAATATATTCTGCTTGTATTCTGAGAGAATAAAACTTATATCAAAACAAGTGGAGATTATGGAAAAAAATTGAAGAACCGAATATTGATAGACTTTCGAAGAAAAACTGTCATCCTCAAAACGTACAACTCGTTCACCTGACCATGCTACTCTATGCATCATTCTTGTAGATGGATAAAGCTACACATTATAAAGCGGCCTAATCATTAAAGCTACTCCAATTATTAGTAAATTTAGGCACATATTTTCCGAAACGTGTTCCTAGTTCTAAATACTACAGTTTATCAACAGTGTTTTAAGTGGCATAGCTACGACTGGGGGGCGATATTCGAGACTTAACTACTCTGCTCAAATGAACTTTTGGTTCTTCAACAACAGTACCATTTTCATCCGTAATGAGACTCACACAGTTTTCTACATGATCACCGGTTGATGGTGTGAAACTAGGGGTCGTCATGCCACGAAAACTACATCCCACGAACGAAAATTTTAATACCTTTCCCATGAGATTTCGATCGAGCTGAATAATATCGTTGCGTAAAACGTTTTCTTCTAACAATGTAGAATAATGCACAATAAAGAATGAGTATTGAAATAGCAGATATAAAAAAGAGAATGAGTGCTTTGACAAAATAAATAAAATCACATGAAGATCAATGGTGAGCCTCATTCTTCATTAGAGAACTAGCAAATAAGGAGATATCATTTTTCACATAAGATATCCCATGTGCGAACATCTTTTCGGCTTCATCGAGTCGACAGAAAAGAAAGATATGCATGTGTGCGAAAGAGATATCCCATTATTTGCTAGTTCTCTATTATATTTAAACAGAAAAATAATAAATAGAGTTTAGAAGAAAAAACAACAACAGATCACAGTCAAAGAACGTCATAGATTAAGATCTTCTATCTTGTCATAGATATCAAGACTATTTATAAAAGTTTCTATAAGATAAAAGGGAATCAAAAAATTGGTCGTGGTTGATGAAAATCAATATTCATTAGATGAGGTAAAATTTCTGAACGTTTATGATTAAAATGATTTTGAATTGAATAATTCATATTTGATGATTCATTCAACTGATTTTTCCATTCGATAAGAAATACAATTTGACGTGTACGTGGCGGTAATGAATCAACAGTTAAAAATGTTTGCCTTGAACTTCGCACTCGTCTAGCCTCCTCGATATCAATACTAACATTTAAATATTGATGATAAGAACAATTTTCAGCTACAAATGGAATACAATCAAGATGACGATCTATTTGATAATAATTGTAATCTTTGCCCTAAAACAAAACAAATCTTTGTATAATTACCGTAAATTGAAAAAAAACTTTCTTCTAAAACGAGAGGTTTATTGATATTCTAATCATCACGAGATTATTACAAGAGCTGTACATTTAAAACCTCACAGTTATCGCGCTATTGACTAAAAAAGTAGTAAAAACAGGCTGCTAATGCGGATCGTCGCTTAGAGAACGAGAACAATCACTAACTAAAGTATCCAGTCGTTTGAAAACGTGTCAGAACATTAAAACTCAGTGGTCCTAGTCGTGATCCATAAACGTGGAACGAGATAAAGCTAGGCCTATCCATATCAGAATATGAATATAATTCAAAAATCTAAACGTTCTGCCAGTAAGACTAATCAACAGGTTACCGTAGAAAACCAAGGAGAATTTTATCAATACGACATTCGACAAATAAGCCTATGAAAGCGAACAGATAGTAAAAGCAATGAAGCGCATAGATGTAACCGGTCAAGATTTTCTCAACCAGGCCGGTAACAGGTCGAAAAATTTCTGATCGAACCGGGCCGGTCGGTCGGCAGATCATATATTTTCCTAATGTGTAAGTGCAAAAGCCTAACGCCAGAGGAGTGCTAAGGCTTCTGGAAAAACGTCCATCGCTTCTGAACCATGGATTTCCAAGATGTCTCTTAGATTCAGTTTTGCAGAGGACACTTCGGACTATATATGTATGAAAACAAATCCATAGATTTCTATGTCACCTTTCAGAAAACCGAACTGGTTTCCACAGATCTCCTGAAAAAACGATCTTTGAAATTTTTTCAAACTCGTTTTTGCTTATGAAAACATAGCCTCAGATCTTGGCTAGCGAATGATGAAAACCGCAAGTCCCTATCTTTTATTTCTCTTGAGTTATTAAACAAATAACGACAGGCCTTGTATTTTAGCGCCGATAATAGTGCAACAAACATTAAAAAAGAAAGAAAAACGAACGGAATATTCACATAGTAGAGATTACCAGTCTTGCTCTCGAAAACTATTGACAAAAAAGAGAAAACCAAACTAACTTTCTTAATCTGAAATATGAAAAGCTTTATTTTACTTAGCTCAACAAATTCGTTTTCGACAAAGTACTAATCTTATTGTTGTAATGCTCACCATAGCTTTTCATTTGATTGTTATGAGTTAGAACATAGAAGAATATTTTGAAGAAAGATACTAACTACATAGTCTTTTTATCTACATGAAGAAGATCTGTGGCTTTATATCCGCAAAAATTGCTAGTTATTCTGACTGACTCTGTGTAAGTTAACAAAAAAGTAATAAAATATGAATAAATTTTTCTAGTTTTGTAGTCGTTTTTAGTAAAAATCCGTTTCCAATGGGTTTTTGCGCATTTAAAACGAAAATTACCATGAGATGCAGAACGACCGGTAAAAGTTTATGTCTCAAACGCTTCTCAGATTCTGTAACTTACTATGTACATGTCCTGGTGCTCGTGGAAAATGCGATGTTGTATCAATACAAACTATGAAAATATCAACTCACTTATATCTTGTCGAGGATACTGTGAGTCATTAGAAACTTAGGTGTTTGCTATTTTGCACGTAGCACCCAATTTTTATCCAATTTAGTTCAGTGCGGAGCGAACACCTGATTTTCTAATGTTCCAACAATCTTCTACAATAGTATTAAGAAAACGTTTCAAACTTATTTTTCTTTAAAAATATGCGAATAAGCGTTGATATTTGACTAGTGCAAGCTGCAAGTAGCCATTTTTCTTTTAACGAGCGCTATTTTAAAACAGATGATAATAGTAAGCTTTCCTCGTTCCAGAACAGAACCATATTACTCGCAATGGCTGTATTTTTCAAATGTGGAAAGTTCAAATTTACAAAAAACCCTGGAAAGGTAGAACTAGGGTGGTACATTCCGCGTTTTAGTAAGTTTCGAAAATCAAAGTGCTACTTTACTAACTACTCCTCAAGTTTTTGCGTCTCAGAAACGTTGGTCTCACTTCTTCTGTAACTTACATAAGTTCAATAAGTAGTTTCACAGGTCAAAGTTTAATTTAGCATGCGTTTGTTTAATTCTATCTTCATCGTTCGTTCTTTACCGATACAAGAGAAATATTGTTACAGAGTATGAGTGTTCTGTATTCATATCAGAGCCCGAAACGAATCGAATGATTCGACATTCGGTTCGGTTCGATTCGGCTGCTTGCCGAACCGAACCGAACCGATTCAGGATTTGAAACTGTTGTCCCGAATCGAACCGAATCGAATCAGGAAATCCTGATTCGTTTCGGGCTCTGATTCATATGGACAAATGATAAAGAAATCGAAAGTTTAATTCATTCACATTCAATTACGGCAAAACGGATTCGATATCAGGATTATTTATCGTTGTTATTTTTAATAAACCTTAAATCCCTAAATTTATCCTTCATTTCTGTCGTAGAAGAACAGTCATTTCAAGATTTACCCTTTAAATCGACTGTTACATAAAAAAATGCAAAACTAATTTATCAACCAAAAATGCTTGAGATTCTAACATAGGACCTTCAAACGATTATATAGCGTAGACAATTTTAAATTAGCAGGGATGTTCTTCAAGAAAAATACTTTCCCTACAGATCCTCATTCCAGTCTAAAGAGTATTCAGCTATTTCTCAGCATTTAATCTTCTTTAAACTTTGTAAAAATGTCTTTCTCCATCTATGAAATTAGCATCTGACTTACTTACCCAAAAAAGTTTCGAAACTTCCAATAGATCATTTTTATCTTACCATGTTTGGTTTTCTGCAGTTTTTAATAACGGCAGCAATTAAACAATCTGCCAACAATGTGACTGGTTCTTCAATATGCGTCAAATCCAATAGATTTGATGAATGAATAACGACTGTATATTTTAATGAAGATATATGATGTTTGTTTGACCAAAAACTTGTGGAAAATGGAATTAACATGTAACTACCGTCTCTTAGTGAACCATTCCAGTAGGTAAAGCCACCTCTTCTACTTCTTATAATTGCTGTTATTGCACCTATTTTTCCCGTTGTCGAATTAATATCACATAATAAAAATGTTTGTATATGACACGTACGTTGTTTTCGATCTTGTTTATGATAAACTAAACTAATGTTAATTTGTGTCGTTGTTTTTATATAAAAATAATAGGCATTTATTGGTTGACTAGCATCCGTCGTAAATTGACCATCCGATCGTACATCGAACAGATCTGAACGCCATTGACAGATCGTAATTGTTGAAAAATATTTTAAAAATATTCGCCATGACATCCAAAATGAGCCAGAACGACGTTCACCTCGATGAAACGCTTGCAAAAGATTGAGTGTTTCACGTGTTATGTATTTATCCTCATATCTTGTACAACTGTGTGGATCACGAACAAGTACAAAACGTTCGTCATGAGATAATGAATAAACTTTTAATATAGAAAATGCATGATTACCATGAATTTTAATATGTGTATATTCATCATTTGATATATCACTTCGTCCAGTTGATGCACCAATTAACAAACTGAAAGAGAACCGAATTTAATTTAAAAATTATGTGTACTAAAGAAAAAGAACTCACAAATCACAAGAACAACAAAAATATTTTCTTCTATCAGATAATAGCGATTTTTTAAAAACTTTGACAGGATACAAGAATTACTCACAATAAAAGGCATAAAATGGCATCATGAGATTTGAATATATATGCCAGTTGTATCAACTAAAGGATATGGATGAGTTTTTATTTGAGTAAAAGATATTCTAATAATATTTCTTTACATATAAAGAATAAAGGAAAGTTGAGCAATAGTTAACTCATAGCAGAATAAAGTGTTGCCTAAAACACTAACCTTACATTAGGAAGACTTGATCGGCATCTGTATAGCGAACCTCCACTAATGACGAATGCATATTAACAATCCATACTTGGAGTTTGTATTTACCACTAATTCATTGTTATCAGAAAATTTTAAGAGTAGCTAATTTCGAAATGAGTGTTAAACTCAGTGTCAAAGGCGTAGAGTAACGAATGTTCACCTCAGGATAGAAAGCCATTTTCTTACTCGAATTCACATGCACTCAATAATTTTGCCCATAATACATCCGAATCTATTTGTTCTCCTCCATTGTGATTAGTTGTATAGTGGTTTTCTAAATGTATATGATTACAAGGCGCACCGGTAAGCAATAGTAATCCTTCCGACGTCTGACCACCGATTAGATTGGAATATGAACCAAATATTTTCGCACATGCTTTTTCAATTAATGGAACGTATAATTGTCGTCGTTTAGCTTGGGTAAATGCTAATATTTTCCCTGATGTACAAGGAAAGCAATCATCGACCATAACAGTCACCCATTGTCCATTTTTACACAATCGAATTAAATAAATTCCTTCATTATTTACTTCTTTTGTTAACAGTATATGTTGAAGCATCGCTGGACGTTCTGTAATTAAAGCCAAAGCAGCCATTAACCTGTTAAACACAAACAAAAACAAAAGTGATTGATATTGATTTATCTACTTTATCAAAAATAAAAATAGAAAAGTTGTCTTAAAATTTTAAGAAGCGTTTTATTATGCAGCAGAGTTTGTAGCCAACAAATGTTCAGAACACTTGCTATCGCATAATAAGCTCAAACTCAATTTTAGACTGAACTTTATCAAAGTAAAACGTTGTAAACGTGTTCTAAAGAAAACTGGTAAGGAAATCATCATTAAAATCTTCATGTCGATGCCGTGAAGAATGTCCGACAATAGTTCTTTACCGTTTCATTTCCTTACCAACAATCGCCAAGTTGTCCTTGTTGTATATCTGATGAATTTGGATCTTTTAACATGACTGACCATTTAAATTGACTATCGTCCAACAAACTTGGTGCAATATCGCGTATTCTTAACCATTGTAAAACTTTAACATTTAACCCTTCATTCCCAACTGAACGTAAAATAGGAGGAAATGAATCATCAACAAAATGAATTTTTGTCTAGAATAAATAAATAAGCAAATAAATAAAACTAATAACCTCAAAATAGACAAAAAATATATGGACTACCATTTGACAATATTTTAAAATTTCTGCATACGCCCTTTCTGCATCTGTCTCATCATTTCGTTGTCGTTCTTCAACAGGAAGTGAAACATATTTTGATTGCGATGGTATATTTCGATTAAGTATCGGTATTGAATTCACTAAAGCAAGTGAATCTCTTTCACATTCGTTACAGCTTGATTTACTGTTGGAGTTCTAGATGAAAAAAAAAGAATGCATCGACAATAAAGTGAGAAGAACCGTCTCGCACGATTTCTTCCCTAAACGTTCTTAATAAAATCGACTCTTGATCAAAAGACTATTCTATTCGTCTCAGTCTATCCGAATTTACAATATGAACTATGGTAACGACTAATTTAGCACTCAACGAAGAGCAACATCAGGACAATTCTATCTATTTTTTTAGCTGGAAGAGACAGTGCATTACTTTCTCATATAGACTTTTCTCACCAAGTGTATTTTCAGTCTTACCCGTTCCTTGCATTTTTGACATTTCGTTGATGTTTTAGATGTTGTTGTTGATGTTGTATGTTTTTGTGGTGACTTATGCAGTTTTGTTCTTGATCGGGAACACATGTCACATGTATCTGTCTGGGATTTATTTGTATATGTACAGGATGAACAAGTCCAGTTTGCTGATTGCTCACTAAGACTAAAACACATCTCGCATTTTAAACTAACGAATCGGTTCTCAAATGAGCACCGTGAGCAAGTCCACGTATCACCAGTCGCAGTTCGCATTTGATATTTCTAAAACCAGCGTTGACTTTTTAAATGAGAATATATTTAAAATAGTGTATACTTTTTTCAACGTCGTCATTTTCACCTATTCTTTCACATGGACGTAGCCAATTCATCGCATATAGTCTATTAAAGAAAAAAAGTACATTCGTTTTACTGTCAAATCTAACTCTCTCTTTCTCTCTCTTTTTCGCTCAAACAAACACCCATAAAAAAAAAAGATAAATGAAATGCATGCACGAATTATGATGCTCCTATACACATTTACTAAAGCCGTACTTTCCAAATAACGGTAAGAATAGTTTACCATCGTTCATTATCTCAAAATACTTTAGCAAGAGAGAACACAAGAGTACAAGTTTACGCCATACAAGGGTAAACATTTGCTTCGTTTTTCTATGACTGATCATAGATGATATAGTAAACTTTTAGTTTTCGACAATCTATTTCTGGAGTTCTGACTCTGAAAAAGACAGCGGCGTCTATCCCTATCTAACGGTTTGAGGCATAAAGTTCCACCTGTTATTTTCTACCATGTATAAAAATTGAATGTTTTTAAATTTCATAGTGCATATGAGAACTTATTATAAACTAGTCTTAAAAACACGCTCAACCTGGCATAGTGGCATTATTTGAGGCATGATGTTTCAAACACAGCATAGCGTAGACGCCGCTGGATAAAGATAACATATTCTCAACGTTTTTAATCAATCACACAAGCTTTCTTTCATGGATGAAAAAATTGAACAAAAAAACAATTCTAGCATAATTGAATTCGATCTATCTACCTTCTATTTTACAAGCAACCCATCTACCAGCATTTAGTGCTGATTTTATCCTCTTGATTCAACCAGTTTATGTCCCGAAATATTCTGATAGTTTTTCCCGGTTTTGTAGAATGAAATGAATAGCTTAAAACAAAAAAGATATTTCGATTAGTAAGTGCACAAACTTTTCATCGGAAGATCTTTTGGATGCATCAGCATGGCGAAGTTAACAAACAAGCAAAATAATGGATAATTCTATTTTCTTCTGAAAACAAAATTTGTGCACAAAAGGGAACAAATTTATGCATGTTTCTTCACTTTTTCGTTTTTGTGATCTTAAAGTCTTTAGATGGCAGCTTTAGAATAGAGGCCAATAGAGTTTTATTCCCTGCTTCCTTCCTTTTCTGACTAGATACAATTATTACTCATATCAACTTGCGGAAAAGTGCTTTTTCTTATTCAGCATACTCGATAATCCAGAAGGTTTTCTATTTTTGGCGAGGAGTATGCCAACAGTTTAAGAAAAATTTTGAAATGAATATTACTTTCCACAGAAGTTTTTTTCGCCATTTTGTTCGGAAATTTTTCCTAAACTTTTAACAATAAGTCGAACAGTACTTTTCCGTGACTATGCATGAACCTTATTTTTCTGTCGGTGATACACACATTCAGCAGTACGCTGGTTGAAGTATGCTAGGCGCAAAATGTTAGTATCAACGTGAAATCACATTGTTATTAATGCTGTGCACCTGGCGTATTCAAACCGGATAACTTTCAGATCCTTTTTTGATTCCACAACTTTCATCCAATAACTTTAAGAATCACAAAAACGAAAGTAAGTGGGGCGATTAAGATGTGAATGAGTGTCTGATAAATTTTCTTTCATTGAGCGCCAGTATCAACATAATTTACATTGAGGGCTGACACACCATGAAACAAATCCGAATTAAAGAAGCACATTTTTTCAGAATAAACGCCCCTATAAACTGCCCCCGAGTTACAAATGAATCGAACGAGCACAAAAAGCTGAACAAGATAGGCTAGTTTTAGTAGGATATCATATCCTTAAAGAACAGAATAGCAGAGTACCATGAACACTTTTACAAAAGAACTGCTAAATGTGTCGAATGAACCTGTTTTTTGGCCTCCTGAATTTTTTTGGAAAAAACCTGAAAAATTTTACGCACTTACCTGAAAAACCTGGCAGGTATTTCGAATTTTTCACTCTCATCCCTGACCAATATATATTATCGATCTTGGCGAAATAACACATTAAGCATTGTACTGTAGCCTACAGCATACGTACACACTCTCGTAAAAATACGCTGGAAAATATTTCTATCATATACATGCACAAAAACTACGATGAATAGGATTCCATTCTATTTATACTGTTGATAAGCAGTTTGTATATTGTTCTGGTTGGTTTGTTCAATATTGATGTTCGCTAATAATAGAAACATTTGTATTACGTAACTGTATAAGAATTCTCAAATTCTATCTACATGTATTCTCAGTACTTTTTATTTTTACTCAAACAGGCTGCTTTTAAGCAATTATTCTTTTACAATACGATTGGAAATATAGTTTACTATCAAGTTCCAACAAATCACATATCTTTCTACAAGAACCGTTTGGCGGCACTATGTCGCCAAATAGCCAAAAAATTAATTAATAACATAAAACAGTAAAAACTTACAACTAGGAAAACGACAATTATACAAAAAAGAAATGACTATTCCCTCCTACACACTCCATGTATTACATATCAAATGTATAAAATCGTCATCACTATCAACTGTCACACTTAGAGCTTCATACAAGTTTAAAAATTCAGAATAAGTTATCTGTGGATAATCCAAACAATAACGAAATGTATCACAAAATTTTTCCCAAATTTTATCATCGGTCATCGCACCTGGATAAAAAGAACAATATTTATGATACTAAAATGCTTAATATATTATCTTCTTACCTCGTACAGCATACGGATGACCAAAAAGATTTAAAAATTTCTTCATTTTATCCAAACTGGTTTTTCCAGTTTTCATAGGATCAAGACGTAAATAAGCCTGAAGTAGTAGAATTATGAAACAATTATAATATATATTTAATTAAGAATTTCGCCCTATTCAATGTCAAGAAACAACCAGAATTATTCTTGAAAATCCTTTTAATCAGGCATCAACAAACTTTAGCTAACGCATTATGGCAACTTGCACCGTGTTTA